ATATAGACAACAAGAAACTTCTGAACAACGTCAAACCAAACTTCAAGCACAAAAATTAAGACAAATAACTTATAGAGAGCAGGAAACAGAGGAGAAACTTGATATACGACTTCAGGCTCAAAGAACAAGACAAGCTCAAACACGATCTAATTTCAAATAAAGCTTTTTTTGAATAAATGCTTTTTTTGTTTCTCGCATCACATCTTTTGTCTACTTGTTGAATAATTTGCCGAAAAAAATACTGATCTATACATTTCTAAATTTTCACCGTTCAACGCCGAGTAACTCAGCTAGTATAAATATATATATGTCATTCTTAGGTATATTAAGTTTCACCTATTGCAAAAAAGACAATAAAAAAAAACAAACGTGGAGGGGGTCCAGATATTTAAGTGTTGAATTTAGGAGTTATCTAGTTATTGCAACCCTGTATAAAACTCTGGGGTAAAGATGTTAATATGTTAAAAGGGGTGTAGCGACGGGATTACTGAATTATACCTGACTTTGAACATTTTAGCAACGAATAAAGATTTAAGGATTTGGTCTTATTTTCTCTGGATCGTAGAAAAGAACTATATTTGACTTGATTGTCGTGTTTAAAATTGTCAGGGCGTGGAGAATGTGTTTATGGTTGTTTGTTTGCGTGATACAATGAAAGGTTGATAATAAATTTATGTTTTGGAAACCTAGATCCAAACTCATTAATCGGCAGATTTATTTCTCAGTAGTGTTGCATCAGCGAGGTCACGTGACTAGTGTCACACCACGTTTCTAGAACTATCCTGTTCCTTCGGGAGTGCTCTAGCATTTGCTAGATTGGAGGTTGGTCTGGTATATATAAAATGGTCACGGCGTGACGTGACAATGTGTGTAGGTAGTGAGTAATTGAACTGCAGTCAGAAAGTATTGTTGAAGTTAACTTTCGTTGTTATAGCGCGACTGTTGAAAATAAGTGTATCGTAAAGTTGTATTCGGAAAGAATAAACCAGTTTTATTAAATAAGGACTTGTGTCGCTAAAGTTTCGTCGGAACGAAGTTACGGAAAATCAACTAACGACTGGAGGCGTAACAGTAGTAATCATAAACTTATGGATTTTTTTTTGTCTGATGATACGACTTATAAATTTTTTCTAATTTATATTAACATGAAGTCTATTATCAGCTTTTGGTGTTCATATTTATTTATTTTGGTCAGAGAAAGGGATATATCTATGGGTTAACTTGTTCTCTGTCACTTTGAGTTTTGTTACGTTGTATGTCTTTTATAAAAATGTTAATCCTGACATCTTGGATTTTATTATGTTGTATGTATATTTGTTTGTATAATTTTTAAAAACTCAATATGTGTTTACTTAAAACATGGTATGCACTTTGCGATGGTCAGGGTGACTTTGTAGGAAGAGGTAGCGTCAAATTAGTGGCGGTAGAGGTGCTTTCTGCTACCCGCTTTCAACACCCATCCCTTAATGTCTTTCCACAGTGTTTCACGTGATTAACTAATTGACGTTCATTGGCTGCAGAAGTGTCTTACTGGTCGAAGTTGAAAGGTCACTTGTCAAAGTAGGAAGTGGGTATAACTCAAGAAAATGCTCCTCATATTAACCTTATGGTGACTGTTGGAGTAGAAACTTCAACTGAATTTATGTATTATTGCAATAGTGGCGGCCAGTTTTTTCATTGCACTCCTCCATAGAGAGTGCTAGCGTGTTTTCTGAGATATATATAAGGCGTTTGTTTGCCCTCCCTCAAACACATTGTGTATGTTGTGTGATAGAAAATTTAATAATTTTGTTTTGTGTAAGGACGTAGCGCCGTCTATGAATGTAGTTAATGTAGTCTTACGTCAAAAACTAATAAATACTCATTACAGCAATAAATGGAGGTGAAGGGGGCTGTGATCTCCTATTAATAGGCTTCATTGTTCCAAACTATCGTCCCAAAAAGTTTGGTTAAGATTGGCTTAGCGATCTAAGAGTAGTTAGATAACGGAAAACAAATAGATACAGAGATTTTTGTGCTATATATATATATATATATATATATATATA